TAAAAATGTTTCCTTATTATGATCTAATTTAGTTAAAGGCACCATGTGAAGTACTTGACCATTAGTACCACTATAGAGTAATGTTTTGTACCACAGCTCCCATTTTGGTTGTAGTGAGCGCATGTGCATTTCACAGTGCAGGCGACACAATACACAGTTCTGTGAATTGTTTCATGCTTTTCCATGAAACAAATATTTCATCAGCAAGTAAATGCAGTGAACATTTTCAACTTCATGGCTACACTCAGTATTATAGACGGGAGAGCTGTAAATCATTCAGCTTTGCTAACACTGTACAGCTGTCCTGCCTGAGAGCTGCAGAATAGCAGCAATGCTGGAATGGACACACCTCAATATCTAACAGTCTGGCAGTCGTGCTACAGCAATATAAAGTGGAATAGGTATGTAATCTGTATTCAGGAGGTTTGAAACACATAAGTAGGAGCTCTCTGCCTTTCTTCTATTTCCTTTCTCAGTGCAAATCTAATTTTCGGGGTCCTGCTTTTCTGGTTCATTCAGACCACTGGGTTTCAGGTCTCACTTTAGACAGCTAAAAATACTTTATCATTCACTGCCCACTGAATTAGACATGTAATTCACTTTGACTGGCCTCGTCAGTGTCTTCTTTGTAGACAGTTCAGATACCAGGAGACCACCCATATGCTGAAATGTTAAGGAATCCTCTAGTTTTACAAAGCAACCACGGTGATGTGAACAACTGCAACAAATTTACAGTAATGAAAAAGTGAAAAACAGTGAAAAAGAGAGGAAAAGAGAAGAGAGAAGAGGAAAAGAGAAAGTTTTTTGCCAGGGCATTTGGTGAAGCTGGAGAGCATATGTGGTGGTATATTGCACAGGTCTTACAGTGCTAGAATGCAATTCCCAGAAATGCTGAAAAAGATGAATGTAACAAATCAAAAATATGATGCAAAATGCAAAGTAGAAACAACCTAAGACCAGCTGCGAGATGCTCACACCCACACCCTTGAGACCCTTTCGCATTTTTAGTTACGTTAGTTCAGAGAAGCCTTAAGCCTGAGGTTGAGTAATAGCTCAGGCAAAGTGGGTCATACTGTACGCCACCATTAGCTCAAGGCACAGTTTGACCTTTTAACTGGGAAGCTTGTGGAATGGGGAACGTCTTCCTGTTCTACCCCAGATACAAAGGGAGAGTGTGGGTGTGCAAGTTTCAGGTGAGAATGTTGCTGCATCTAAACATATTTTGAGGAATCATAATACAGTTCAGGCACAGGAAGAGCATGCAAACTCCACACAAAAAGGCTCCTCTGTCCCCCGCAGGGTTCGAACCAGGAACCTTCTTGCATGGCAATCACTGCACCACTGTGCTGGCCCTGCACTGTAGAATATGTTTCTAATTAAAAATGAGCTGAGGCGGAGCAGTTCATCCAGTTATTGACTGCCTTCTTTCTAAAGCCTTCCCTACTTCCTCCTCACTAACACCTTTAATGGCCTGAGTTAAAGATGCTCTGCAAAAACACTTCTGTTAGCAAGTATTTCTTCCTATATTGTAATAGTTATAATTGCTACAATCTGTTTAAGCTGCATGTACCATCACTGCTGCTGGGAAATGTTAATTGCAGAGTGCAGACCAACTGACAAACACCTTCATTAATAGATCAGAGTTAGACACATTTACATCACTGAGGAAAGGCTATGAGCACTTTGAAGAAACCCTTGGCCGGGGTAGGAATCAAAACAAGAAAACTCTTACATTTTGCAAGTGCAAAAACAGCAAAAATGTAATGAAGTAAAAGTTAAAGACCAGTAATGCAGATATAATGAACGAGTTATTCCATCTTTCTCCTATCCTGGACATATCCCTGTTCTACTCTCAGCCTCTATGGACTCTGAATAAGGCTGGATGAAGAAACAAATCAACAAACCTCAAAAATGTCTAACTCTAAAATGCATAAAACTTGGTGTAAAGAGAGCTCTCTTGATGCTGGATGGAGTCTTATGGTTTCAGGTCTTGGGAGCCCTGCCCGCTGAGGTCAACAACCCACCTTGGGCATTGGTTAGACCTCTTCTGAGTAGAGGACTGGGAGATCAGACTGGTCTCAGCTGCTTTTCTGGAGGTGGAATTTTTAATATGAAGTGGTGCAGTAACCCCCAGGTAGTCGATGAGTGCATGCCTAACTTGCTTGCAGTCCACATGTTGAAGTGTCCTTGGGCAAGACACTGAACCCCCCCAAGTTACCCATGATGGCACATATGCATGCAGCGGCCCGGGGTCCTCGGCTCCAAACAAAATCTTGTTGTACATGTCACAATGTTACAATGACAATAAAATAAAGCTTCTTCTTCTTTTATAACATTTTTACTCTTCCTAATTCAATATCCTCCATTAGGTAGTGTTCAGTTAACAGTTTTAATATTCCTAAAATCAACATCTTACATTAGAGCCTGCCTCAAGGTGAGCTGGATGGAACTATAGTGGAATCATTTTGTAACAAAAAACAAGTACAGTATCTACATGACAAAAACATTGTCAGTTATTGTAGGTTCTATGTCTAATATGGTCATGTCCCCCTTTGTCTGGCTATGAACTGCTGTTTTGTTAATTGTTTCTGTCCATACATTTTACTTTGATCAGGTCAAAGTTTGATCACACATGACATTTCTTTAAATCTTCTTGTGTAACATCATTTGACACATAAAATAGACTTTGTGATGCTTCAAACATGATCGACACAATGGTTCTTCAATATAATTTCAGTTCAGCTGTAGTAACTGCACATTTATAGAGGAAATCACATCTTTTTCTAGATGTAAATGAGTCAACACTAGAACCGCCAAGAGGTCATTTTAACCTCCATTACTCCTAAAGCAAAAATGGTAAATAGACTGCACTTGTATAGCCATATACATTATATAGCCAGTCAGACACACCGCTCAAAACACTTTACAGTAATGCCTCACATTCTTACACACACACACACATACTTTCCAAAATTAACAATAGGCGTTGCTAGGCAACCAAGATACAAAGTGAGTATAGTGTAGTGATGAACCTGATGCGGCCTTACCTAGGCATGGGGAGAAACGTCACTACAGACAACTTTTTTACATCACTCCCCCTTGTCCATAAACTCCTAGTAAGGAACACCAGCCTGGTAGGAACTGTGAACAAAAACAGGCGTTCACTCCCACCTTCTGTGCATCACAAAGCACTACTGCATGACATCAAAGTGATGAAGAGTGACAAGACAATACTTACAATATACCAGGGCAAGGTGAACAAAAATGTGTGCATCCTCAGCACAATGCACCAGACGGTG